GGCTCACAGTTAGATGACGTTAGTTGTAGGTGTAATTTATTTTGACATCTGAAACTGGCTGCATTTTAGAGGTTAGACATTTGTCAACAAAATTCAGTGCGAAGAGATTCATTTAAGCGAGCAGTGCTATTTTTTCTTTTGATTAAATATGGAACGTGAATAACGTAAGTATGGAACGTAAGTTGTTTTTTCGACATGTGCTGTTTCATTACTTTGACTTGAAAAAAACTGCAGCTGCAGCTCATAAATTGCTTTTCAAAGCTTATGGCAATTACGCTCCATCGGAAACAACATGCCAAGTATGGTTTCAGCGATTTAAGAGTGGTGATTTTGATGTCAATGATTAAGAACGCTCAGGCCAACCGAAAAAGTTTGAAGACACCTATTTGCAAGCATTATTGGACGAAAACTCTACTCAAACGCTCCAAGAATTGTCTGCAGCATTAAATGTTACTCCGATGGCTGTTTCCAAACGTCTACATGCAATGGGAAAAATTCAAAAGGAGGGAAAATGGGTACCACACGAATTAACCGCAAATGCCATTGCGAATCGCTTAAACATCTCTATTTCTCTGCTCGCCAGGCAGAAAAAGAAGAGTTTTTTGTGGCGCATAGTGACTGGCGATGAAAAATGGATATACTTCGATAATCCTAAACGAAGAAAATCATGGGTAGACCCTGGCCAACCATCGACATCCACACCAAAGAGAAATATTCATGGCCACAAAGCAATGCTTTGCATTTGGTGGGATATGCACGGCGTCGTTTATTATGAGCTACTCAGACCGAACGAAAGTATCACGGGGGATCGATATCAATCACAATTAAACCGTCTGAATGAAGCATTGTTGGAAAAAAGGCCAGCAGTAGCCAGCAATCGACGTAAAGTCATGCTTTTGCACGACAACGCTCGACCACACGTTGCCAAAGCCGTCAAAGAAACACTGATGCAGCTCGAGTGGGAAGTTCTCCCGCACCCAGCGTATTCACCAGACTTAGCTCCTTCGGACTATTACTTGTTCCGGTCGATGCAGCACGGCTTGGTGGATACACACTTCAGAAATTACGAGGATGTGCGAAAATGGATCGACGAATGGATTGCATCAAAAGACCAATCGTTCTATCGTCGCGGAATCTACGCGTTGCCCGAAAGATGGGAAAAATGTATAGCTAGCGAGGGAAAATACTTCGATTAATGTATTTTTTGCTTTTGATGTCGAAATAAATGAGTTTTTTAAACAAAAAAACCGCAGGAACTAAGTTTAACCTAATACTAGGTGGTAAGTACCACCTAATACAATTAATGTGTCGCTTTTTCTCGCGGATTTGTGGCGGCAGCACAAATACACTGGCGAAACGTTACGTTAAGGGCGTGAAAGTTTTGGCGAGTTCCGGCGAAAGAGAAAAGAGTTAGGGTAAATATTATAGATATTATCATTTATATTAATATTAAATGCAAAGAACAAATACTGCGTCATTACTTACCGAACTCACGTGTCACCATGTTTGTGTCCGTTTTAGTGCTCGGTTTTCTGCATTCTTTTATATTTACTGTGC